AAAAAAAAAAAAAAAAAAAAAAAAAAAAAAAAAAAAAAAAAAAAAAAAAAAAAAGAAGCACGGAAATGTGAGAGACCCAGGGAGACTCATCTCCCTGCAATCTTCACCCCTCGTTTCTGCTTGATCTAGGCTTCTGGGATGTTTTTCCATGAGTATGTCACATCTTTAGCCACTCCAGTTAATCTGCCTGACAAAGGCTGGGGATGGGGGAAATCTCCAATTTATCTTATAAAGCATTTAATAAAGGCTACTATCTCCACGACCCCAAGCAGCAGGATCAGGCTAATCTACAGGAGACCTGACCAGTTGAACAAATCTGATCAACCATCTGGGCTTACCTTGGAAAGCTAGGTGGCTTGCTTTATAAGTGTTTGTACGAATTTTTCTGCTTGGCTGGTGGCATTGATTCAGGTATAGCAAGATATATTAGCAATTACACAGACTCTACCTTGGCCCATAAGAAGGAAATCTAAGGTAACGGTATCGTTCACAGTAACCCTGGGTGGTGAGGTGAGGCTGGCCTGGGTGCATTTCAGTGCCACGGTAGTGTTTCTTTAACTATGCAAAAGATACATACAAGGCTTTCTTCTCTTACGAAAAATACAAATTACTATATTTGGGGGGAAAGACGATAAATTAATACGTGGCTTCCACATAAGAACTTCAGCCCCAGCAGCAAACATGGTACTTCTGGAAAGAAAACATTGTTTGCCAGGTGCTGTGGCTCATATCTATAACCCTAGTATTTTGGGAGGCTGAGGAGGGAGATTCTTTTGAGCTTAGGAGTTTGAGACCAGCCTTGGCAACATGGCAAAACTCCATCAATACCAAAAATACCAAAAAATTAGCCTGGCATGGTGGAGCATGCCAGGTCCCAGCTACTTGGGAACTGGAGGTGGGAAAATGGTTTAAGCCCAGGAGGCTGAGGTTGCAGTGAGACAAGATCACACCACTGCCTTCCACTCTACTGCACTCTGGCTTTGGACAACAAAGCCAGACCCGTTCTCAAAAAAATAAAATAAAATAGAAATAAAAAAAGAGAGAGAAAAGAAAAAAGAAAAAGAAAGAAAAAGCACTGTTTACAATTTGAAGATTCACCAAGTGGAACCTATATCCATCCCATTGGAGAGCACAGGTTGACAGTGCCTCTCTATGAATGAATGTACTGGCTGGCTGGCATTAATAATTAATATGCCAGTAATTCAGTCAATGTTAGGGTTCCCAAGTGGGCACAGCAGCTTCTATAACAGCCTGAATCCGCTACAGAGCCTTATCTTGCTCTGTTCCCCACCCGAAATAGGCAGGCAGTCAGGCTACGGGGAATTTTCTAGCTGCAGAGAAATAGCTGGCACAAATGTGGTAGATGTTGCCTTCAAAATCCAAAAGCCCTAACAAGCATTGTGCATTTTTCACTGTAGATGGAACAGGTGCAGCCCCTTGTCTTCACCTTTTAGCAAATATCTCAACATTCTCCACATCATTGAACCACCAGAAATTTCACTGATGTGGCTGTCCGTTAATTGTTTTGGAGTTTCTTTCACTTTGCATATGTCTTCCTAAGGTATTCTAAACAACATGCCACTTCCTGCTTAAACAGATCCAATAAGCATAATGCCATCAATGTAATGGATTATCATGATGCTTTCTGGGATGTCAGAGCAATTACAATCTCTGATGACTATGTTAGAGCACAAAGCAATATTGACATTGCTATGAGGCGAGACTGTAAAGGTATACTGTTAGCCCTGCCAGATAAAGGCAGGTGGCTTCTGGTATTCCTTACAAATTGGTATGGAACAAAATGTTGCTTCCAGGTCAGTAGCTGCTTACCAAGTGCCAGGAGCTGTGTTTACCTGCTCCCATATGATCCTACAGCTGGAAAAACAGCTGTAATCGAAATCGCTGCATGAGTAATTTTAGAATCACTCATATGCATTCTCCAATATGGATCAGACTTCTGCACATTTCAGACTGGTGAACTAGATCAGGGTGTGATAGGTGCCTTTTTGAAATCTTTTAGGATGATATGAATCTCTGCAGTTCCCTGTGAAGGGCAGACTGCTTCTGGCTTATTATCTTGAGGAGAAGTTTCAGGGTCTTCCACATAGTGCTTCCTGTTATAATGACCCTCATTTCTTTGATCATAGAGCCAACGTGGGATTCTGCCGGTTTCCACATGTCTATTTCCATGATACATTGAGGCACTAGAGATATAATGAACACATGTGTCTGTGGACAAATTGAGCCCAATGACAGTTGGACTTGAGGCAAGACTTCATCTGTCACCTGACCACAGAAAGCCTCCACTTTGACTGGGAAAGCCACAGAAACACTGTCCTCAAGATTGGTGTCAATTCAGAACCAGAGACTAGTGATTTCTGTGTTCACAATTTCTTATAAGTGTCCCTGGATATAATTGTTAGCTAGGTTCTCAGAGGTAGAAAATGGCTTATGAGGATTTGATTCTACTTAGAGGCTGATAAAGACTTTCAAGAGAAAAGAAGAAGACTGCTGGTACGGTTTATTTCTCCTGATTGGACCCTACCTAATGAAAGGACATAGAGTTTATGTCATAAAAACAGGCTTGGAAGAGCTTAGAGGAAGGTGCAAATTACTCCACCCATGGAAGTCAAGATGGGAGTAACAAGAGTGGGAGAAGAGAGAGTTAGAATTGGGGAAAGAGAGAACTCTACTGGAGGAACCATCAGTCACTAGCTCCAGGTCAAGCCAATGGTTACAGACCATCCTGAGTTTCTCTGGCTGAGAAGTTGGGTTGACTGTTCTTCCCAACACCTCCTGGTGAGCCTTCTGTGGTGGACATGCTCTAATGCAGCCTCATGGTCCCCACCCCACAGTGATCATACCCTTGTGGACAAGGTTTATGACTTGCTTCTCACCAATAGCATATGGCAAGGTGATGACATGTATATGATATGCATTTGTGATTACCTTACATTAGTTCTAATAGCTACCTTGCTTGAGTCTATCTCTTCCTTGCAGTCATTTGGAGAATTTCATGTGTTAAGACACTATAGGCGACCTCTAGAAGCTGAGATTGACCTCTGACCACAGCTTGCAAGAAACTGAAGTCCTCAGTCTATAATCACAAGGAATTGAATTCTGCCAACAACCTGACCAAGCTTGAGAGGAGATCCTTCCCCAACTGAGCCTCAGATGAGACCACAGCCCCAACACCTTGACTGTAGCTTTGTAGGACCCCAAGCCAATAACCCAGCTAAACCACAGGCTCCTGACCTACAGAAACTGTAAGCTAATAAATGTGTATTTTTTTAAGCCATCATGCTTGTGGCAATATTGTTACACATCAATAGATAATTAACACAGGTTTCCATCAAAGCTGCTTACATATAATCCATGAGTCACAATGTCTGCTCATGCCTCCAGGTGCCCAATCCAAATTGCCTGTTTGAATGCCTGCTCTCTTTGCAAAGAACCAAGACACCTGTAGGTCCCCCTCTTCTATCAGTCATAGGTGGGGTCATTGGTACCCACTGAGGCTTTGGTTGGAAGAAGCTCCAGCTTCAGCATTTGGGAGGGACTTTGGTGAGACTGACAGCACTGAGGCCCACGGGTATTACAGATATATCTAGCATACATGGTCTCAATGCAACAACTAGTGTGGGTCACCTCCAATATGCAACACAAAGGTTCCCTTTCTTTTCCCTGTGAGCAGAGAAATTGGTATGGCTAAGCCAGGGCACGGTTCTTTATAAATATGAGAACAATGTACAAGCTCATCAAAGAAAAGAGGCTGTCACCTTACTCCCTCAGGAAATGCAGTTTTTATTTTATTTATTTATTTATTTATTTCCTGAGATGGAATCTCACTCTGTGGTCAAGGCTGGAGTGCAGTGGCATGATTTTGGCTCACTGCAACCTCTGTCTCCCGGGTTCAAGCAATTCTCCTGCTGCAGCCTCCTGAGTAGCTGGGATTACAGGTGCATGCCACCACGCCCAGCTAATTTTTGCATTTTTAGTAGAGATGGAGTTTCACCATGTTGGCCAGGATGGAGGAAAGACATTTTTTTTTTTTTTTTTTTTTTGAGACGGAGTTTCGCTCTTGTTACCCAGGCTGGAGTGCAATGGCGCGATCTCAGCTCACTGCAACCTCCGCCTCCTGGGTTCAGGCAATTCTCCTGCCTCAGCCTCCTGAGTAGCTGGGATTACAGGCACGTGCCACCATGCCCAGCTAATTTTTTGTATTTTTAGTAGAGACGAGGTTTCACCATGTTGACCAGGATGGTCTCGATCTCTTGACCTTATGATCCACCTGCCTCGGCCTCCCAAAGTGCTGGGATTACAGGCGTGAGCCACTGCGCCCGGCCCAGGAAAGACAATTTTTATATTCCAGATGGCATCCAGAGGTCCCCAAGACATCCCTGACTTGGTGAACCTGCCTATTAGTAGCCAGCAGTCTGTTTTTGAAACTCAGATGAAAGACTTGAGCCCAGGCAAAGCTCATAGCTCCCCAGAGCCCACCCTTTTCTTCTGTTCCTTTCCTCCTGCCTCTTTCTCTGTCCCTCTCTTTCCCACAATCCCCTCTGAGATCTTCATTTAGTCCAGCCCAAGGGTGGCTGTGTCAAGGGTAGAATTTCATTGCAACAGCATTTCTCAGGCTAGCTGGAGCCAATCAAAGTTGGGATTTGACCAGTGACCTTTGACCACAGGAACAATTAAGTGCCCCTTCCTCCAACAGGTTCCACAGCCCCGAGCAATGTTTTGTCATCATGGGTATAGATTCACCGCTGACAGCGTGACCAGTTGTTGGCATTTATTCTGCACAGATCTCATATGTTAGGGCTTTGAGAAATTTTTAAAGCCATTTTTCTTCTCTTTTTGATATTTATTTCGCCTGAATGGAATGTAAAAGAATGCTGCTAGATCCAGAACTAGACACTGTTAGTGACAAAAGGCAACTAGATCCAGAACTAGACACTGTTAGTGACAAAAGGCAACACACAGAGTTGGGATTTTCTGGAACACTAAGCAAGACTGTTAGCTTCCTTCCCACCCTTCCCAGCTGACCCAAGCATTGACGTAGCACCACTTTAGTCAACAAAGTAGAACTCACTAAAGCACCCAGTTTCTGGTAGAGTCCATGCTTGCCCCTTCCTCCTCGGGGCTCCAGGGTTACTATCACATGCCCTTTACATAATTGACTACAGCATTCACGATCTTCAGGGAGCATAGGAAAGAGAGAGCCTTCTTATCAAAAAAGATAAGGGATCCATGAAAACCCTCCTCCAGGTGGTACCATGTCACACGGACCCCCTGGTCCTCCAAGCGCTTCTTATAGAGCAAGCTGTCATCACGGAGTATGTCATTCTCACAACACACCAGGAAGGCCTCAGGAAGCTGAGCAATGACATCATCATCTGCTAGCAGGGAAGAATTTTCTACATCCAGCATATGTTTGGTTTCTAGACAGGCAGCTTCATTAAACGGGCCCGGAGGCCAGGGTTGGAAGCCTCTTTTCTTAAATTTCTTGGGGACATTGCCAGGGCTAAGCCATTCTCATACTTCCTCCAGACCTCCGGGGGTACACAACTGCCGTTCAAAATGGCATCACGCCAGGAGAGGTCAATGGCCAGATAGTTACACAGAGTGGTCACCACGAACTTCCAGGAGAGGAACGGGACATTTTCGTTCTGCTGAAAGGATGGTAACTGCAAACAGAATACCTGGACAAGCAGGTAGATCAGAACCTGAGCCCGGATCCGGGGAAGATCCGATCTTCCCACCAGGCCTGGGTGATGGTGGCCGCCACTGCGCCTCCGATGCTTTCTACACAGACCACAACCCTGGAGGGGTCCACCCCGTAGGTTTCCAGGACCTTCAGGAAGTAAATGGAAGTATTCAGGCAGTCATGGAAAATGGCAGGGGAATGGTGGTCAGGAACCATGCGGTACCTAGAAAGCAAGCAGGGAGCGACAGTAGGCCAGGGTGGAGTGTGGCCAGGGGGCTGTTCCAACAGAGTTCTCAACTCTCCTTCCAAGACCATATCTAATTAAATCCTCAGAATAACCCTATGAAGTAAGGATTTTATCCCCGTTGTCTTCCTATGAGCATGTGAAGGACCTGCCTAGGCTCACACAGGCCAGGATTTTCTACTCCAAGCGCGTGGTCCGTCTGCTTCCTGTAAACTCCCTATGAGATGACGCAACTTTGCTTTCACTGAAGCTATTTGCTTCAGGAGCAAAACAACCAGCAATGGCTGAAAAAAAAAGGCAAATTAAACCACTGCCAGTCCCACTGCGTATCTGCAGAGAAAGGGGGAGAGAAAACTAAAGTCAAGGGATGTTACTTTCAGGCAGATTTTTTTCTGTTTTTTTGAGATGGAGTCTTGCTCTGTTGCCAGGCTGGAGTGCAATGGTGTAATCTCGGCTCACCACAACCTCCGCTTCCCAGGTTCAAGCGATACTCCTGCCTCAGCCTCCCGAGTAGCTGGGACTACAGCCGCACGCCATCACGCCCAGCTAATTTTTTTGTATTTTTAGTAGAGATTGGATTTCACCATGTTGGCTAGGGTGGTCTCAATCTCTTGACCTCATGATCCACCCACCTCAGTCTCCCAAAGTGCTGGGATTACAGGCATGAGCCACCGTGCCCAGCCAGAATTTTTTAAATCAAAAATCTAATTAAAAATTTGGCCAGGCATATATGGTGGCTCGCACCTGTAGTCCCAGCTACTCGGGAGGCTGAAGCAGGAGGACTGCTTGAGCTGAGAAGGTTGAGGCTGCAGTGCGCTGTGATTGGACCCTGCACTCCAGTGTGGGAGGCAAGAGGGGCTGGAACTGTTCTGCAGGTGCCGTGTAGAGACAGAAAGCTAGCCTGGAGACACACAGCTCATGCTGAGGAAGACACAGGTGCCAGTGGCTGGTGAAGAACACTAGGAAGTTGGTCTTAAATATCCTAAGGTTTGGTTTCCAAAGTATGTCTCCTCAAAGAAAGTCAAGGACAAAGAAAAGGAACTTTAAAATGAGCTTTTAAGGCCAGGCACAGTGGCTCACGCCTGCAATCCCAGCACTTTGTCAGGCCGAGGAGGGTGGATCACAAGGTCAGGAGTTTGAGACCAGCCTGGCCAACATGGTGAAAACCCATCTCTACTAAAAATACAAAAATTAGCCAGGCCTGGTGGCACACGCCTGTAATCCCAGCTACTCAGGAGGCTGAGGCAGGAGAATCACTTGAACCCAGGAGGCAGAGGTTGCGGTGAGCCGAGATCGTTCCATTGCACTCCAGCCTAGGCAACAGAGCAAGACTCCATCTCAAAAAAAAAAAAAAAGTATGGGCACAGTGGCTCACACCTGTAATCCCAGCACTTTGGGAGGCCGAGGCAGGTGGATCACCTGAAGTCAAGAGCTCGAGATTAGCCTGACCAACATGGTGAAACCCTGTCTCTACTAAAAATACGAAAATTAGCTGGGCATGGTGGCAGACACCTGTAATCCCAACTACTTGGGAGGCTGAGGCAGGAGAATCGCTTGAACCCAAAAGGCAGAGGTTGCAGTGAGCCGAGATGGCGCCATTGCACTCCAGCCCGGGCAACAGCACGAGACTCTGAACAACAACAAAAAAAGCTTTTAAAAACAGTAAGACACAACCTAACTAATGCATAAATTAAAATTAAGATAATAGAAAGGAAAGAATAAAAAATAGAAACAGTTGGCTTAACTGATTGGAGCAGAGAGTTTATCTAAACAATTGTTCTCTTAAATTTTAAGTTGAGGTTGTTGCTAATCATCTGTTTTGTTCTTACAATCTATCATTGAAAACATCAAGCTTGGGCATGTTGGCTCACACCTGTAATCCCAGCACTTTGGGAAGCCAAGGCAGGTGGATCACCTGAGGTCAGGAGTTCGAGACCAGCCTGGCCAACATGGTGAAACCCCATCTCTACTAAAAATAAAAAACTAGCTGGGTGTGGTGGTGGGAGCCTGTAATCCCAGGTACTCGAGAGACTGAGCAGGAGAATCGCTTGAACCCAAGAGGCAGAGGTTGCAGTAAGATCCTGCCACTGCGCTCCAGCCTGGGCAACAGAGCAAGACTCCATCTCAAAAAAAAAGAAAAGAAAGAAAAGAAAATATTGAAAAGGTATATTCTAATTATTGCATTAAATTTGGAAGAAGCTCATAAGGAAAAATGACACTTTAGTAGCTTTCAACTTAGAACAATAACTTTTTTCTGAGTAGAAAAAAATGATATACCAGCCCCACCATATAAAATAAACAAATGTGATTGTTCTGGTTTTGCCCAAGGATAAGGAGCCTAAACCCTCACTCTTTCTCATTCTTCTTTGACCTCCATAGTTGTCTCTAGGACATCACAGGGAACCCTAGGGTTCAAGGGAACCACTTTGAAAACCACTGCCTTCTATTAGACCTTAAATTTTGTTTCCTTTAAAAGTTGCTTTAAAGCTTCATCTTTCAAAACAGAGTTTGGTTGACTGCAGCATAATATAGTGCCCATCTAGGAAACATTGCCCAATAATATTATTGCCCATTTCCTAGATGATCAATATATTGATAAATCTGTCCATGTTGGGCTGGGTGCAATGGCTTATGCCTGTTATCCCAGCACTTTGGGAGGCCGAGGCAGGTGGATCACTTAAGTTTGAGTTTCAGACCAGCTTGACCAACATGGAGAAACTCCATCTCTACTAAAAATACAAAATTAGCCAGTCATGGTGGCGCATACCTGTAATCCCAGCTACTCGGGAGGCTGAGGCAAGAGAATCGCTTGAACCCAGGAGGAGGCGGAAGTTGCAGTGAGCCGAGATAGCACCATTGCACTCCAGCCTGGGCGACAAGACGGAAAGTCTGTCTCAGATAATAATAATAATAATATTAATAATAAACTATCCATGTTATCAAGACAGGTTCCCACGAAAGCTCAGGCAAAACACATGCTTCTTAGAGGGTCCTTGAAGGGAGGTGGCCTCTGCACCTGGCAGCCATGAGCACAAACCTCAGCTTCCATTTTTCCATTTCTAGAAGTGAATACTCCTCACCAAGTGTTGAATATACAGCTCCAACATGATGAAGGTACTTTCTGTCAGCAAAGTCTCTGACCTGCCGGAAAGAGGCAGAAATTCTCCTGTGCCTCCCTGCACTCCTCTCTTGCTCACTGTGATGGACTGAATGTGTGTGTCCCCCCAAAATTCCCATGTTGAAATCCTACACTGCAATGTGAGGGTGTTAGGAAGTGGGGCCTTAGGAAAGTGACTGGGCCATGAGGGTGCACCCCTCGTGAACGGGATTAGTGCCCTTACGAAGGAGGCTTTAGAGAGTTCTCTGGCTTCTCCTTCTGCCATGTTTGGAAACAAGGAGAAGCTGGCAGTCTACAGCCTGGAAAAGGGTCTTCACTAGAGCCTGACACCCTGATCCTGGACTTCCAGCCTCCAAAACTGTGAAAAATCAATGTGTTATTTAAACTGTCCCATCTATGGTAATTTGGCATAGCAGCCCAAATTAAGAAACCCACCCCGAGGTGAAGGCTTCGCAGAACCAAAGGTCAAAAGACCCATCTTCTGCAAGTGCTCGGGTAGGGAGTCCCATCCAGGCTTTAGACATCTTCCTTCCTTCAGTGTCTCTCAGGGAGTCTCCTCCCAGCTACTGTCCCGCTGCAGCCTCCTTGAAGCCCTTATCTGTGCATGCCGCTCTGTCAGCCACTCTATCAAAACTGCCCTGGCCCACGCACCAGGTCTTTCTATGTACCTGGATAATGGTATCCTAAGCAATTTCCTACAAGGTATTAATGCAGGTGCTTATTGATACCTTTATGTGCTGCTTGTTCAAGGGATCTTTTTATTATCACAAAGGCCTCTGGTGACATAGACTGTAATGGTGGAATTTCAGACACAATGACAAGCCACTTGGGAGGTATGTTGATGAATAGTAGAAAGTGCTGGCTTCCTCAGTCTCATCAAGGAGGACCAGAGATGCTAAGTGACTTTGTTTAAGTCACCCAGCTATTCTGTCTACCAAAGCCTAGGGGCAGCTACTGTTTGAGGAGGTTCATTGTAGAGGTAGAATCTAAAAAGGCAGATTTCAATTTCTCTCACTGGCCTTCACTAAACTCTTTCCCAGTGATGTGAGATCCCTTGGCCCAAGAACCAGAATCCTAGTGAGAGGCCCCTACTGCCCCCTCCATCCACTCTAAAGATGCCCTCATCTGCCTTTCGTTTTTACTGGACCAGAGTTGTATGTTAAGACACTCTTAGCACTAGTCTCTGCAGGACCAGAAGCTCAGTTTTTAACAATACAATAAGCACCTGCAGAGCCATCACCCCAAACAACAGCCAGAAAACGACCTTCACCTTCACCAGCCCCACCACCATCCCATTTCGCTTCTCCCCCAACTTAGTGAAGGGTTGCCCCAAATCTGTTTCTATCATTTTTTTCTTTCTATGTTACATTGTCTTATTGTGTCTATGTGGATTCCTGGAAAGCATTCTTTTGGTTTTAACGTTTTTACCTTTGCGAAATGAGTATCAGGCTTTACGTAATTTTTTGAAAAATTTTCACATAGTTTCATACTACTAAGATGCGTTGGCAATATGGTATACCTTTCTGGTTCATTTATTTAAATGGCTATGGAACATTCCATAATATCTTTGTCGTGATGGAATCCAATACTCGCCATACTGTGGTTTATGCAGCACGCCTCTGCTCACAGGCCTGCGCGTTGTTTCCAGGTTTTTCCACTTTTGAGCACTCCTGCACCTGTCTCTGCGGATGCGTATCCAAGACTCTTGGGAGTCGGGGCATCTCTGATCTACAAATCACCCACGAACTTACCCTGTCTCCTCTCACCCCTGTGAAACCCACCAGCTGTCTCCAGCAACTCACCCAATCATCACAAACACAGAGTCAGTCTCCTGGGCCAGAAGATTGCACAGGCCATGGTAACAATCTGCAAGACAAACAGTCAGAGTAGCAGCCCATGAGTAGGGCCCAGACCCTCTCGCCACGGCCCCCAGGAAGAGCCAGCTGACCGTCTTGATGTGGGCTGTGGCTTCCTCTCTCTGTTTCTGCTCTTGCCTCCTCTGAAGTGACCCTAGCTGGCTCTGCCTGGGCAGAGAGAATAAGCCAGGCCAAATCAGACATCTGTCCCCAACCTCCTCAATGTTGGGGCTCAAATGCACCTTGGGGCTCACTTTCTGCAACATTTATTTTACAGTGGAGGAAACCAGGAACCTGGAAATCTTAGTGATCAGACATGGACGAAACCAAGGGAAGTTAGGCATGCCTGCCCTGGGGTATTAACAGTAACTATACATTGATATTGATCAGGAAATAAACAGTGCTTGGATGGGGCATTTCTATTAGCAGAGTGGTACATATGAAGTCTCAGAGGCAGGTCCGTTAATACGAGGACGTAGAATTTACTGGCACAGTGGTGGGTGCAGAATCAGTGCCAAATACACTTCTTTCTAATTGAGTCATTCTCAACTTCAGCTATACATGGAGGTACTGGGGAGTTTTTGCAGGTCCTCCGGCCCAGGCTAAACCTCAAACCAAATGGATCAGATTCTTCAGGGTGGAAGCTCAGGCATTAGGATCCTCTAAATCATACCAGGTAATTCCAGGGTTTGGGGAGGTTGCTGAAGTGGGTGCGTGCTTCATTAATGCTCTTTGAGGAAGGTGACAATGGTTCTGAGGGCAGCCAGAGGCACAAAGGGGTCTAAATTGAGTCAGAGCCCCTAAGGTGAAGTTTCCATACTAGCAGGTCTCACTCCAGGCTGCACATTGCAGTCATCTGATGAGCTGTTTAAAAATACTGACACCCTGGCTCACGCCTGTAATCCCAGAACTTTGGGAGGCTGAGGCAGGCAGATCATGAAGTCTGGAGTTTGAGACCATCCTGGCCAATATGGTGAAACCCCGTCTTTACTAAAAATACAAAAATTAGCTGGGCGTGGTGGCGAGTGCCTGTAATCCAAGTTACTTGGGAGACTGAGGCAGGAGGATCGCTTGAACCCACGAGACGGAGGTTACAGTGAGCCGAGATGGTGCCACTGTACTCCAGCCTGGGAGACTGAGCGAGCCTGTCTCAAAAAGAAAAAAAAAAGGCAATCACAATTAATGCCAAAAAATTGCATGATGAACAATATATCAAAATTTTACATAGGCCTGGCTGGGTGTAGTGGCTCACATCTGTAATCCCAGCACTTCAGGAGGCCAAGGCAAGATCACTTGAGCCCATGAGTTTGAGACCAGACTGGGCAATACAGCAAGACTTCATCTCTATAAAAATAATTAGGCCAGGCACAGTGGCTCACTCCTGTAATCCCAACACTTTGGAAGGCCAAGGTGGGGGGATCACTTGAGCCCAGGAGTTCAAGACTAGCCTGGGCAACACAGGGAGACCCCATCTTTACAAATAATTTAAAAATTTGGCCGGGCGCGGTGGCTCAAGCCTGTAATCCCAGCACTTTGGGAGGCCGAGGCGGGTGGATCAAGAGGTCAAGAGATCGAGACCATCCTGGTCAACATGGTGAAACCCCGTCTCTACTAAAACTACAAAAAAAATTTAGCTGGGCATGGTGGCGCGTGCCTCTAGTCCCAGCTA